TGGCCTTGACTTTTTCCTCTGGGGGCTCACCATACTTTCATTCTATTTAGTGCATATTCTACATAACTTTCTAACCTGGTGATAAGAAGGGGCACAGTGCATGAGCCTCACATAAATCCTGGTACCTCAGTGGCTGGGAGTGACAGAGCAGATGGCTGTTTTATACTTTAAAATTTGCCATGAAAATTGGCATCTTTTCCCAAAATAAACTTAGCCTATTTCTCAAAAGATATGCTCCATGTCTCGGGGCCAGGTGCGAGACACAGATTTCTGGGACCAATGTGGGTTTGGTTAAGTTGTTAACTGCTATAACCTGATCCCAATCCACTCAAATTCTTTTGTAAGAGAGTTATCAATTTCAGATATTAATCCATTCATGCAGGCTATTCCCCCAGTGCATTAAACAACGTCCCGAGAGGCTGAAGAGGCGTGATTAAGGATCCATACAACGGGGTGAGGCAGCAACAGGGTGTATGTAGAGACATCTGCGGGGACTTACTCACAGCTGGACCCTGATGGCAGCCTTACAAATCAGGGAACGTCCCCTCTACACTCTCCTGCCATTTGCCCCAGATTATGACTCCCAACATTGGAGAGTGCTTCCTATGTTTTCCTGTAATAGTTTGATGGTTTCAAGGTGCAGATTTGGGTCCTTGATCCAATTTTATATCTGATTATTGTATAAGATGAAAGGGAAATTAAATTTGCATATTGGGGCCCACACGATAGGTAGTGATTAAAGTCCTCGCCTTGAACGTACTGGGATCCCATATAGGCATTGGTTCTAGTCCCCGGGGGCTCCCGCTTCCCATCCAGCTCCCTGCTTGTGGCCTGGGAAAGCAGTTGAGGACGGTCCAAAGCCTTGGGACCCTGCTCTCAAGTGAGAAACCCGTAGGAAGCACCTGACTCATGGCTTCAGATCGGCATAGCACCGGCCATTGCGGCTACTTGGAGAGTGAACCATCAGACGGAAGATCTTCCTCTCTGTCTCTCCTCCTCTCTGTATATCTGACTTTCCAATGTAAATAAATAAATCCTAAAAAAAGAAAGAAAGAAAGCGATTTGCATATGAAAAAGGGATCTGTAATCCTTTATTTCCAGTAACACAATCTGCTACAGCAAAGACAAGGAGATAACCCAGATGCCCCTGAGCAGAGCAGGGACACCTAATCCAGGGAATACTACTGAACCATCAAGCAGAATGAAATTCTACCATTTGCAACCAAATGGTCCCAAATAGACACCATTATACACAGTGAAATAAGTCAATCCCAAAAGGACAAACATACGTTCTCTCTCTTTTAAGACAATCTTTATGCAAAATATAACATCAATAGCATATTGAATACTGTTTCACTATATACCATGGGATTTGATATTTGTTTTTATTTTCATTTCTCCAAAAAAGTTTTTCTTTCTTATTGGTTTTTCACAGACTCATAGGTCACACAGCTACGTCATTTGCTCTAAGAGGGTTGTTGATTTTCCTTTTCATTACTTCAGTGACACATTGGTCATTCAGTAACATGTTATTTAACCTCATGTTGTTGTAAAGTTCCTTTTTTCTTCCTGTGGTTGATTTTGTTTTATGGATTTTCATTTAACAGGATAGTTAGTAACTGTGTAATAGGGACTATCCTATCTAGATATGAAGATACAATGCAGTGTGCATCTCTACTTTCAAGTCAAAGTTGGACTCCCAAGAAACTCTTAAAAGCATGATGGACATCTATCATCGTCCATTCCTATGCTGTCAAGATAAACTTAAAGAGCGGAAGGGTGGACTTCGGACTCTTTATGATGGACTATGGTAATAATACTGAGGAATCGGTGGCGGGGAGGGGACTTGGAGAGAGGGTAAGGGAAATCCCAGAGCCTACAGAAATGTATCATAAAAGACAAAGAGAGAGAGAGTTGCCAACCCATTCTTAGGGTGGGTAGAGCAGGGTGTTGGCCTAAGGAGAGTGAGTGTGAGGCCATGATGAATCTTCTAGCCTTATCGCCTCAGGAATATCTGGCATGTCCTACAGGAACCACCCAGAACCTGTCCCAGCCCATGTACCCTTGTCACTCATGTCACAGGTCACTCACATGCACAGCTGCTGCCTTCTCCCATCCCCCATGCTAGGATCTATAAAACCGCAGTGCTGCATACTCTGGCTAATAAATATCTTCCCACAGTCAGCCTGCCATGGGAAAGGGGTCCTGGACCGTCTCCCACCAGGAAGTGGTCTGTCAGACTCTCCACTAACTAATAAAGCCCTTGGTCTGAACTGAAAGGTTCTCCCTTTCTCTCTCGCCCTCAAGTTGTCTGAGCACCTCTAAACCTAACACCCATGTTCTCAGCAGCCTCAGTCACCTACACCAAGATGCTATAGCAACTCCAGTGTCCATCCACCAATGAGGGACAGAAGAAGTGATAGCAACCACACAATGGGGGACCAATCCTTGGATACAAAGAAAGGAAGGAAATGGTCCTGGTGCAATGGCTCAATTGACTCATCTTCGCCTTGCACGTGCCAATATCCCATGTGCTGATTAATGTCCCAGCTGCTCGAATTCCTTTCCAGCCCATGTGGACTCCACTTCCCACCTGCGAAAACCAACAGACTGTCCAATGTGGCATGACCCTGTCTGCCCTCTTGCTTTTTCCTCTCTCTCCTACATTTCATCCCCAGCTGTGTGAAAATTTAATTTTCTCTTCACATTTGGGACATTTATTTTATTTTTAGTGGAAAGGCAGAGTTAGGAATTCTCGCAGTTTACCTCAGATGTGGCTTGAGACTAGGCAGTTTGAAGGGGAGAAACCAGAATATCTGTATGGGCCACATCAATGCAACAGTCCATGTGGAAGACTAGAGCTGGGCTGGTTAGCAGGGACCACAGCTGACCATCACTCACTGGTCCACATTAAAGCTAGGACTGAGGGCCTGACTGTCAGGGTTAGATCACAGTACCCGACAGTGAGTGTCAGTACAGGGGACAGGTCACATGAGGCTTGGCCAAGACATTAATCAACATGAGAGAGAACCAGATATTCTGTGGGGGGGTAAGTGGGCTCACCCCTGCGGTGCTGGTTAGTTTAAGAGCTGGGGGCGGTGATGGGTTTAGCTAGGCATTATGATGGAACGCTCTGACACACATGGGTTCTCATATTTTGGACAGGCCATGCTGGGCCAGGATGTAGCACCCTCAGGCTCACCCTTGAATAGGGTGTGAATTGAGCAGGCCATAAAATCTCCCAGCTCATACAAAGGCCAGGACGAAAGAGGTAGACTATGTCACGTAAGGGCCTAGCACCTGCCAGAACATGTGAGATCTGGTCTGGGAATTGGCCTCGTGGAGAAACTTGAGTAATTCCCCTTGTCAGATGTAGCTTCTGCTAATAATGTGTGGTTCAGGCCCAGGTATTGGTAAAGCCAGGCAGGGTAGCTCTACCAGTCGACAAATGTGTGGGTTGGTTGTGGAGAAGGATGGACCAGACAGGGCTGGGCCAAACCTTAGCTCATTGGCAAGTGCAGGAATCAGGATGGAGTGTGGATCATATTAGCTAGGCTATCACACTTACCAGTTCGCATGATCCACGGATGGGAGCAGACAGGGCAGGGACAGGCTGCTTTAGCCACCAATGAGACTTGGGACTGGAAACAGGCCAGGGCAGGCCAAGCTGCCACATCTGATGGCAAAGGCCATAATAGGAGATGGCTTATGCCGAGCAGGGTCAGAGCAACCACTAACACACACAAGATTTGCGGCTGGGAACAGCATTGCGTATGGAGCAAAGAGCATGTAAGCTGGGTTGTGGTTCCCATGGATAAGCATGAGAGCTTGAATGAAAGGCGCAATCTGGGCTGAACACGACTGCCGTATGCTTTGGCATGGGTGTGGACTGGATCTGAGGTGTGCCAAGACTGGGCTAGACACCAAAAACCACTGGTGCTGGTGGATCAGGTCTGGGGGCAGGCCAGGCTGGGCCAGTTCTTAACACCCACTGGCAGATCCAAGAACCAGGACAGGGTTCAGGACAAGTCAAAACAGGCTGTAACACCAGCCAGTTCACACTAAGGCTGGGACTGGGGCCTTGCTTTTCTAGACAAGGTTACAGCACATACCAACTTGAGCTGTTGACAGCCTGGGCTAGGTGCAGGCTGAGCCGGGCAAGGATACAGCACCTGCCAGCAAATACTGAGGTGAAGAAGGTCATGCTGGGCTGTGCCCAGCAGCACACATAGACCAAGGAGGCGGGGTGTATGAGCCTGGTAGACAGACTGTAGGGGAATCCCATGCTGGGCACTGCCACAACTGGCTAGAATGAGAACTGGGCACACATCTCCAAGACAGCATCCTGAAAATAAACCTAAGCCAGGCAGTCAAACAGCAAGACTCACTCTGCCTGTGAGTTCTGGTGCTTCCAGCCCCAGTGATGCGGCAGGGAGGCGGGGACCCTCTCTCCAAGACATGGCTCTGCATTTGGCACCACCCTCCTCTGCGAGACTTCCAGCCAGCATTCAGTGCCCAACTAGCCTGCTCATCCTCCAGGAAGCCCCACAGCCATCCCACAGGACAGCGTCCTGCCTCCTCTGTGCTCTCAGCTCTATCTGGACCCCTGAGACACCCATGTCACACTCACCATGTCCTCCTGACATCGTAGGGGTGTGGGGACAGGAAGGGCTCCTGCTGTCCAATCTGCATCTATCCAAGAAGCCACTACTTCAGGCTGAAGGGTTGAGTCAGGATTCAGAGCTTGGCACACAAACTCTGTGCATTTCAATTTCCCAGTTGGGGAGCAGTGCCCATCCTGAGTCAGGCTCCCATCCGTGCCATGCCAAGCACCTGACAGGAGCACTGGGTACACACATCTCCCAGGAGACATTTGGATACAGTATCCTAGCCCAGCAGGCAACAGGACAGGCTTGTTCTGCCTGCGAGGTCTGGTGCTGTTCATGCAGAAGGATCCGGGGCTCTGGGGACAGCGGCTGCTGCTCACTCACAGGAGCCTCTCACACCTCAAACCCTGAATGAAGGGTGCACGGAGGCCACGCACAGGTGCCCTCTGCCCACTGTTCCAGGGCCTTGGAGATAAGCCCTTGTAAGCCTGGGCCCAAACAAAGCATGCCATCTACTGCTTCCAGGCCTGGTCCACCTGCCATCTCCCCTGGTCCTTCCAAGACAGCTGGGACAAGGAGACAAAGTCCACAGGTGACAGCCCCCTACTGGCCCACTTCCCCCCACCCACATGGAAGTGAACACAGGAGCCGTGTTTGCATATGACTGTATTCATATTTATTTGATTGACAGGGGTGGGGTAGGTGGCAGTTTGCTTAGGGCCCCCATTCTCATCAATCTCAGTAGGAGGGGCGGGTGTCTCCTCTACCTAAACGCACTATCCAGACCCCCAAAACTAACCCAGCTACACCCAGAATGACATAGGTTGATGTGTCGGGTCCTTTAGCACCTGCAGAAGAGACAGAGGATGAATCCCAGGGGGACAGAGAAACAGGCAGCAGTACCCAGAGTGTTGAGGGTGATGACGCCCTGGACACTCACCCGTAGACTGCAGCTTGGACACCAGGCTGTTCACAGCCACTCTACCCCCATTGGCAATGGCCGCCCTAGACTTCATGCTGGAAGTGATGGCGGCAGCAATGCCCCCCGCGGTGAAGCCTAACCAGCCTAGGACTATAGGCCTGGAGGACACTGCAACAGCTGCAAGGGGGAAGGGCATCATGGAGTCCCTGAGACACAGTCGACCGCTCCTGGGGGCTGCAGGCAAGCCAAGGAGGGCTCTGCTCCTTAGCCGCTGTACCACCGCCCAACACCCTGCAACTCTACCCCGAGTCATTGAAGGACTGGCCACAGCTTGGGGTCCTAGTCACTCACTTGCTCCAACAACAGTGCGAATTCCTTTCAGCAGCTCTAGAAGGAGGCAGAGAGGGGCGGGAAAAGGCAGGAGTGGGTCAGCAAGCGGCCAAATTGCCCTCGCAGCCCAGGGCAGAAGTGACACTCACCTGTCATGGTGGAGCTGAGATTGTGCCAACATTAATGAAGAAGGTCAAGGGCAGGAGTGAATTTATAGCCCCAGCTGACACCAGAGCGCCTCCCACACTCAAAGGAACCCACCCACTTTCTCTTTCTCTGCTCACTGGCCTACCCACCTGGCCCTGCACCTGTTCTGGAAGGAGGGAAAGTGCTTCCTCCACGCGGGGTGAATGTTCAGAAGAGAGTGGAGCTTGCTGGTATCCGAGGACCAAGCTAGAGGCCCATTTAAGAGTGCTGGGGTGCACTTCCCGAGGGGACAAAGCAAGCAAGCCTGGCACTACCCCCCCACTCCAGCTGGAAAACAGCACTCTGGAGGGACGCAGTGCTGCAAGTCTCCTCAAGGTGGCGAGAGTGAGGCGCGCTAGGCACTGGCTGCCAGCCAGGCTTCCCTGCAGCTGAGGCTGCACCTGCCAGCAGCCTCCCTCAGCTCCCAGGCTGTTTTCCTCCTCTGCGAGGGGTCAGCCGCCCCGCCTCACGGAGCTGACTCAAAAGATCCCCTGGAAATCTCCACATGGCTCTGATGCTCCTGTCACTCCATGCTCCCCATGACCTGATACCACTGGACAACTCTGCCAAGGGTCCTAGCCCACCCTCCAGAGGGAGTGAAGAAAGCAACACCTCTGTCCATTCTTTCAGGGATGATGGTAGGCTTTGTGTTGTGTAGGAACTCAAATGAGAGAGAGAGAACCGAACAAAGCCAAACAAACAAACAGAAAGCCTCTCCCTTGGGGAGTGACCAGGAACAGCCCAGGGCCCAGGCTGGGACCCCAGTGACCCTGGGAGAGTGGCAGATGATGTGATGCCATGCCAGGCACCCCTCTCACCTCCAGTGGCCAGGCACACAGGATCCACCCAGGCTAAGACTAAAGGACCACCACAGGAAGCCTGCCCCTATAGCAGCAGGTGTCAGCCCTGGTGGGGAAAGTGTGAGGAGGCCCTGTGCAGCAGCCAGGCACCAAGCAGAAGCCTGAAGCCGCTGAGCTGCATGTTAGAGGTAACCAAAATGTTAAAAGGTCTACATATTAGAAGTGGTTTGAGTAAGTCAAAAGCAACTCGAATATAAAGTAAAAGGGAGAAGTTTCCACAAATAACTTGGGCCACACTCCCAGGCTTAGCCTGTAAGGGTCAGTGGGCCTTAGGCAGGCACTGATAAGAGTAAGAGCAAGGGCCCATTGTCCCCCGCACCCAGGCTCAGGATGGAAGTGTCAGTGGTGCTGATAAAATAAAGTAAAATAGCCCCATGGTCTGTATTTCACACATATGTTACCTACTGCTTTGCATCTGTAACCCCTTAGCTTAGAACAGCTTTGTCTTGTCCTGATGAATAGGGACTTAAGGCATTTCCCAGGCCTTTAGTTTTACCCGTAATTGATTGGAGTGTTTCATACTTGCTTTAAAATGATTGGAGTGTTTTTTCGCGGGCACTGGCTTTGCTGTAACGGCCAAACTGGCCTATAAGAATAGGGCTTGTCCCTAGCTCGAGGTCTTGCTTCATCCACCGGTCCTGCATGGCCGTGTGAAGAACTTGACCCTGGCTAGCCAGCTCAGTAGATTAGCTTGCTGATTGCATCCATGTATGGTTCTTTGCTATCCAACAGAGGGGCGATTTCAGACCCTAACACTGCATGTTCTTCCAGGCCGTCCTCCATGCTGGGCACAGGGATGCTGACTGGAGCAGGGGTGCCCAGACAGGCAGGCAGCTCCTGTGCCCAGGACACAGTACTACCAACCGGACTCCTGGCTCCAGCCTCAGCCTGGCCCAGTCCTGTCCACTGCAGCTGGAATCTTGGCAAGTAAACCAGCTGATAACAGACCTATGTGTTTGTGTCTGGGCTCAGAGAATGCTGGGTTAGGCCACAGCACCCAACCAGCACACGTGGACCTGGAAGGCAGGGGATGTGAGCCCGGAAAGCGGGCTGGGGGGCTTTCATGCTGGGCCACTGCCCCCACTGATGAGAATGAGATCTGGCTGCATGCATCTCCCAGGCAGCCCCTGGACAATGCTCCTAAGTCAGGCTGTCTAAGAACCTGGCTCACTGTGAATGCACGGTGCCATGCTGTTCCCTCCCTGCCCCACAGAGACCCGGCTCTGTAATGGTGATCTGCTCCCCTAGACTGCACTGCACTTGGCACCACCCTCCTCTGCGAAACTTCCAGCCAGCATTCAGTGCCCAACTAGCCTGCTCATCCTCCAGGAAGCCCCGCAGCCATCCCGCAGGTCAGCATCCTGCCCCACTCTGTGCTCTCAGCTCTGTCTGGACCCCTGTGGCCCCCGTGTCACACTCACCATGTCCTCCTGATGTTGTAACCCAGGACAGGGCAGACCCTTCCTGTCCACCACAGCATCGATCACAGGGCCACCACCAGGCTTTGGGGTGAGGGGTTGAGTCAGGGCTTCAGAGCTTGGCACACAAACTCTGCCCATGCCAATTGCCCAATTGGGGAGCAAGTGACCCATCCTGAGTCAGGCTCCCATCCGTGCCATGCCAAGCACCTGACAGGAGCACTGGGTACACACATCTCCCAGGATGCCTCTGGACAAGGGACATAAGTAGGCAAACCAAAGGTAGAGCTGTTCTGCCTGCGAGGTCTGGTGCTGTTCATGCAGAAGGATCCGGGGCTCTGGGGACAGCGGCTGCTGCTCACTCACAGGAGCCTCTCACACCTCAAACCCTGAATGAAGGGTGCACGGAGGCCACGCACAGGTGCCCTCTGCCCACTGTTCCAGGGCCTTGGAGATAAGCCCTTGTAAGCCTGGGCCCAAACAAAGCATGCCATCTACTGCTTCTGGACCTGGTCCACCTGCCATCTCCCCTGGTCCCTCCAAGACAGCTGGGACAAGGAGACAAAGTCCACAGGTGACAGCCCCCCACTGGCCTGCCTCCCCTGCCCAAATGGGAAATGAAGACAGGAGCCATGTTTGCATATGACTATATTCATATTCCATCTCCAGGGATGTGTTAGGGTGAGGGTTTGCCAGGAGATCCTCCTCAGCAATGCGCTTCACTGCAGGGAGAATGTCTCCTCTTCCTAGGCGAGCTACCAAGGCACCCACACCCGCCCCAGCTGTTCCCAGGATGGCATTGGTTGATGCGGCGAGTCCCGCAGCACCTGCAGAAGAGACAGAGGGTGAGCCCTGAGCTGAACAGGGAGACAGGCAGCAGCACCCAGGCTTTGAGGCTGATGACACCCTGGACACTCACCCGCGGACTGCAGCGTGGCCACCAGGCTGCCCGCAGCCACTCCACCCCCATTGGCCACGGCCGCGGCAGACATCATGCTGGAAGCGATGGAGGAGGCAGCGATGCCCCCCGCGGCGAAGCCCAAAGCGCCCAGGACCACGGGCGTGGCTGCCACTGAAACAGCTACAAGGGAAGAAGAGTTTTACAGAGTCTCTGATAGACCACCTGCCTCTGCAAGCACGTGGGGAATGGAGTCTCCTCCTTGCTGGCCGCTCACTGCCACCACTGCCTCCTGCCCCACCCACCGCTTTGCTTGGCCTCCTGTCCAAAGTCAGCCAAGGACTGGCTACAGTTTGGGGACCAAGTAACTCACTTGCTCCAACAACAGCAGCGCCAATTCCTGTGAGTAACCCTAGAAGGAGGCAGATAGGGGAAAGGACGAAAGCAATAGTGAGATCAGTAAGTGGTTGTGCTGCGCTTGCATCCCAGAGCGGGAGCGACACTCACCCATAGTGGAGTTGAGCTGGTTCAGACACGATTAAGGATGGTTAGGGTGCACGGGGATTTATAGCTCCAGCTGACACCCCGAGGCTCCGCCCATAGTCACGATGGCTCCACCCACACTCCCCCCCTCACCCACCTCTGCTCTCTACCTGCCCACCCATCTCTGCACCCGCCCTGGCAGAGGCAAGAGTGCTTCGACCACCCGAGGTGACTCTGGAAGGGAACGGAGCTTGCTGGTTTCGGAGGTCAAAGGTAGAAACACACGTGTGGCTTTGTGGTGCATTTTGCTCATGCACAGAGCAAGCAAACCTGGCACAAACCCCTGCGGCCTCTGCAGATCTCCGCCAGGGGCCAACCGCTAGGCACTGGCCACCAGCCAGGCTTCCCTGCAGCTGAGGCTGCACCTGCCAGCAGCCTCCCTCAGCTCCCAGGTTGTTTTCCTCCTCTGCGAGGGGTCAGCCGCCCCGCCTCACGGAGCAGATGCAGAGGATCCCCTGGAAGTCTCCACATGGCTCTGATGCTCCTGTCACTCCTGATTACGAGCCTTAGCATGAGCTACGCTGATTTGCTATGAAAGCTGAGTTTGTCTCCGCCTTAGGTTTCGTTTCTGCTTTAGGTTTCGTTTCTGCTTCAGGTTTCCTTTCTGATAAACACTGCAAATATGGAAGTTAGGTAACCAGCAACCATCAAGAACTCCCTGTTGCTGAAAAGGCTCTTCGTTAAATAGCTCAGCAATAAGAAAATACCAGAATTGCATTTTTTTCATATTAACCAATCATAAGTGTACTGCCTAAAAAAATTCCTAGGCAATGATAGAAACAATGAGTAACGCCCTCTCTCGAGACTCTCAATCCTGGAAGGCTGTGGCGGTGACAATCGAGGTGCAGCAAGCGCTCAAATGGACCATCCTTGAGGGCTGGCATCAGATGGTTTCCTGGTGATGATTGGGGAATTTGAAATCGAGGCAAAACACTGACTCCACAGGAGAGGATAGGCTGGACAAACCAAAGGAGGGTCCTAGCCCACCCCCCAGAGGGAGTGAAGAAAGCAACATCTCTGTCCATTCTTTCAGGGATGATGGTAGGCTTTGTGCTGTGTTCAGGATGAAGGACATTTGTAAAAGGAGCAATGAGGATAGAAGGAGAGCACACGTTTAGGGGCCAGTGTTGTGGTGTAGTGGTCAAAGACCACACCTGCAATGCTGCCTTTCATGGGGGCACTGGTTTGTGTCCCACTTCTGATCCTGATCCCTGATAATGACCTGCAGAAAGCAGCTGCCCCATGGGAGACACGGATGAAACTCCTGACGCCACTGCAGGCATCTGAGCAGAGAGCCAGTGAATGGTAAAGACATCATGAAACATAAAGCGTTATTCAGAAATAGCCTTGTAGATGTTTGAGGAGCAAGCCTCCCACTGGCCACAAGGAGTGTGCAGGGGAAGGCTCCATCAAGATGTGGGGATTTCAGCCCAGCACTGTGGCACAGCTGGAAAACCACTGCCTTCCATGCCAGCATGCCCTGTGGATGCCGATTGGAGGCCCAGCAACTCCCCTCTGGATCCAGCTCCCTGCTACTGTGCCTGGGAAGAGATGGAGGATGGCCAAGTGCTTGGGTCCCTGCAGCCACATGGAAAACTGGAAGAAGCTCCTGTCTTCTGTCAGCCCAGCCTTGGTCATTTTAGCCTTTTGGGGAGAATAAACCAGCACATAGAGGACTCTCTCTCTCTCTCTCTCTCTCTCTCTCTTTGTCTATTTCACTTTATTCCTGATTCCACATTCATGCAGGGGCCTTGCCTAACTGCCTACTTGCCCATCTAACTCCTCACACTTCTATTCTCACCTGAGACTCCGTCATAATACTAGGAACTCAAATTTGAGACACACACACACAAACAGAGAGAGAGAGAGAGAGAGAGAGAGAGAGAGAGAGAGAGAGCCGAACAAAGCCAAACAAACAAACAGAAAGCCGCTCCCTTGGGGAGTGACCAGGAACAGCCCAGGGCCCAGGCTGGGACTCAGTGACCCTGGGAGAGTGGCAGACAATGTGATGCCACACCAGGCACCCCTCTCACCGCCAGTGGCCAGGCACACAGGATCCACCCAGGCTAAGACTAAAGGACCACCACAGGAAGCCCGCCCCTATAGCAGCAGGTGTCAGCCCTGGTGGAGAAAGTGTGAGGAGTCCTGTGCAGCAGCCAGGCACCAAGCAGAAGCCTGAAGCCGCTGAGCTGCATGTTTGCCAGGCCGTCCTCCATGCTGGGCACAGGGGCTGCTGACTGGAGCAGGGGTGCCCAGACAGGCAGGCAGCTCCTGTACCCAGGACACAGTACTACCAACCGGACTTCTGGCTCCAGCCTCAGCCTGGCCCAGTCCTGTCCACTGCAGCTGGAATCTTGGTGAGTAAACCAGCTGATAATAGACCTATCTGTTTGTGTCTGGGCTCAGAGGATGACGGGATGGTGTGCTAGGAATTGTAAAGCCATTCTGAGGAGTGGGACACACTCCCCTTCTGCTTTCTCTGCAGTTCCACAGAATGCTACCATTGGTCAGCCTTCCCTCCGGAGGACTGACCCGGGGTCACGTGGCTTTGTTCTCAGTAGGAGCTGAGCCCACCAGAGTGTGGACGATGCAGACATGCTGGGCAGAGGCAGGACAGAGAGCGGCAGTGTGGACAGAGGGAGCAGGGACTTCTGACCTTCCAAACTATGAGAGAAGAGGTCTGCACTGTGTGCAATTATCCACTTAGGGCATCTCTGAGCAAGGTCTTCCCTCTCCCACTGGGTGTGGGTCCATCGGACAAGATCACCTTTCCTGCCAGCACAGGTGGTGGACTAAGTCAGGCTGGGCCAAGGACCCACCGTTGTGTGCACAAGACACAAGATCTGCCATGACAGGAGACCTGACAGCGGAATTTGAAGAACTCCTTTGTAAGGATGCTGTCCCTGCAGGTGAGCACACGAGCCAATAGTGCAGGTTATAGCCTGTCTAACCAAGAACAGCCCAGTCCAGCCAGGTTGTGGTACCGGGTACCCACCAGTGTTCATGAGGGTCAGGGATGGGTTAAGGCCATGATGGGGAAGTTCATAACACACAAACACAGATCCCAGAACCAGGACAGGGTGCAAGACAGCCCAGATGGTGTTGTAACACAACCCAGTTCACACCAGGGCCAGGACTGTGGCCTAGCTTTTCTGCACAAGGCTACAGCACGCACCGGCATGAGAGGATGCTTCGGGGAGCCCGGTCTGGACCAGGATATAGCACCTGCACCAAAAGCTGAGGTGATGCATGCCTTGCTGGATTAGGCCATAGCACCCAACCAGCACACGTGGACCTGGAAGGCAGGGGATGTGAGCCCGGAAAGCGGGCTGGGGGGCTTTCATGCTGGGCCACTGCCCCCACTGATGAGAATGAGATCTGGCTGCATGCATCTCCCAGGCAGCCCCTGGACAATGCTCCTAAGTCAGGCTGTCTAAGAACCTGGCTCACTGTGAATGCACGGTGCCATGCTGTTCCCTCCCTGCCCCACAGAGACCCAGCTCCGTAAGGGTGATCTGCTCCCCTAGACTGCACTGCATTTGGCACCACCCTCCTCTGCGAGACTTCCAGCCAACATTCAGTGCCCGCCTAGCCTGCTCATCCTCCAGGAAGCCCCGCAGCCATTCCGCAGGTCAGCGTCCTGCCCCCCTGTGCTCTCAGCTCACCATGTCACTCACCATGTCCTCCTGATGTTGTAACCCAGGACAGGGCAGACCCTTCCTGTCCACCACAGCATCGATCCCAGGGCCACCACCAGGCTTTGGGGTGAGGGGTTGAGTCAGGGCTTCAGAGCTTGGCACACAAACTCTGCCCATGCCAATTGCCCACATTGGGGAGCAAGTGACCCATCCTGAGTCAGGCTCCCATCCGTGCCACGCCAAGCGCCTGACAGGAGCACTGGGTACACACATCTCCCAGGATGCCTCTGGACAAGGGACATAAGTAGGCAAACCAAAGGAAAAGCTGTTCTGCCTGCGAGGTCTGGTGCTGTTCATGCAGAAGGATCCGGGACTCTGGGGACAGCGGCTGCTGCTCACTCACAGGAGCCTCTCACACCTCAAACCCTGAATGAAGGGTGCACGGAGGCCACGCACAGGTGCCCCCTGCCCACTGTTCCAGGGCCTTGGAGATAAGCCCCTGTAAGCCTGGGCCCAAACAAAGCATGCCATCTACTGCTTCTGGACCTGGTCCACCTGCCATCTCCCCTGGTCCCTCCAAGACAGCTGGGACAAGGAGACAAAGTCCACAGCTGACAACTCCCCACTGGCCCGCCTCCCCTGCCCAAATGGGAAATGAAGACAGGAGCCATGTTTGCATATGACTATATTCATATTTCATCTCCAGGAATGTGTTAGGGTGAGGGTTTGCCAGGAGATCCTCTTCAGCAATGCGCTTCACTGCAGGGAGAATGTCTCCTCTTCCTAGGCGAGCTACCAAGGCACCCACACCCGCCCCAGCTGTTCCCAGGATGGCATTGGTTGATGCGGCGAGTCCCGCAGCACCTGCAGAAGAGACAGAGGGTGAGCCCTGAGCTGAACAGGGAGGCAGGCAGCAGCACCCAAGCTTTGAGGCTGATGACACCCTGGACACTCACCCACGGACTGCAGCGTGGCCACCAGGCTGCCCGCAGCCACTCCACCTCCATTGGCCACGGCCGCGGCAGACATCATGCTGGAAGCGATGGAGGAGGCAGCGATGCCCCCCGCGGTGAAGCCCAAAGCGCCCAGGACCACGGGCGTGGCTGCCACTGAAACAGCTACAAGGCAAGAAGAGCATCACAGGGTCTCTGAGAGACCACACGCACATCTTGGGGCTGTGAGCAGGCGGATTAAAGGGTCTCAGCCTTGCCAGATTCCTGATACCCAATATTGCCTCCTGCCATACCCACCACCAACAATGGCCTCTATCTCGGGTCTGTGAAGGACTGCCATGGGTTTTGGACCGAATCACTCACTTGCTCCAACAGCAGCGCCAATGCCTTTCCGCAGCCATAGGACCAGGCGGAGAGGGGAAGGGTCGATGGCATGAGTGGGTCATCATGTGGCCGCGCTGCCCACGCAGACCAGGATGGGAACGACAGTCAACCCTCATGGTGGAGCTGAGCTTGTTCCAACACGAATAAGGAAACTTAAGACCGTCTGGGGGATTTATACGCCAGACAACACCCTGGGCGCTGCCTGTCCCCATGAGGACCCCACCCACCTCCCCGCCTCTACTCACTGGTTGGAATGCCCCGCCTCTGCACCTGCACTGAAAGTAGAGATCGCTCCCCACACACGAGGTGATTCAGTGAACGAGAACGGAGCTTGCTGGTATCCGAGGACCAAGCTAGAGGCCCACTCAGGGCTGCTGGAGTGCATTTCTCAGGGAGACAGAGCAAACAAGCCTGGCACCGCGCCCAACCCCATTAGCACACTCAAATCTCGGAGGGATGCAGTGCTGCCAGTCTCCGCCAGGGGCCAACCGCTAGGCACTGGCCACCAGCCAGGCTTCCCTGCAGCTGAGGCTGCACCTGCCAGCAGCCTCCCTCAGCTCCCAGGCTGTTTTCCTGCCCTGCGAGGGGTCAGCTGCCTCGCCTCACGGAGCTGACTCAAAAGATCCCCTGGAAGTCTCCACATGGCTCTGATGCTCCTGTCACTCCATGCTCCCCATGACCTGATACCACTGGACAACTCTGCCAAGGGTCCTAGCCCACCCCCCAGAGGGAGTGAAGAAAGCAACACCTCTGTCCATTCTTTCAGGGATGATGGTAGGCTTTGTGCTGTGTTCAGGATGAAGGACATTTGTAAAAGGAGCAATGAGGATAGCAGGGAGAGCACACGTTTAGGGGCCAGTGTTGTGGTGTAGTGGTCAAAGACCACACCTGCAATGCTGCCTTTCATGGGGGCACTGGTTTGTGTCCCACTTCTGATCCTGATCCCTGATAATGACCTGCAGAAAGCAGCTGCCCCATGGGAGACACGGATGAAACTCCTGACGCCACTGCAGGCATCTGAGCAGAGAGCCAGTGAATGGTAAAGACATCATGAAACATAAAGCGTTATTCAGAAATAGCCTTGTAGATGTTTGAGGAGCAAGCCTCCCACTGGCCACAAGGAGTGTGCAGGGGAAGGCTCCATCAAGATGTGGGGATTTCAGCCCAGCACTGTGGCACAGCTGGAAAACCACTGCCTTCCATGCCAGCATGCCCTGTGGATGCCGATTGGAGGCCCAGCAACTCCCCTCTGGATCCAGCTCCCTGCTACTGTGCCTGGGAAGAGATGGAGGATGGCCAAGTGCTTGGGTCCCTGCAGCCACATGGAAAACTGGAAGAAGCTCCTGTCTTCTGTCAGCCCAGCCTTGGTCATTTTAGCCTTTTGGGGAGAATAAACCAGCACATAGAGGACTCTCTCTCTCTCTCTCTCTCTCTCTCTCTCTCTCTCTCTTTGTCTATTTCACTTTATTCCTGATTCCACATTCATGCAGGGGCCTTGCCTAACTGCCTACTTGCCCATCTAACTCCTCACACTTCTATTCTCACCTGAGACTCCGTCATAATACTAGGAACTCAAATTTGAGACACACACACACAAACAGAGAGAGAGAGAGAGAGAGAGAGAGAGAGAGAGAGAGAGCCGAACAAAGCCAAACAAACAAACAGAAAGCCGCTCCCTTGGGGAGTGACCAGGAACAGCCCAGGGCCCAGGCTGGGACTCAGTGACCCTGGGAGAGTGGCAGACAATGTGATGCCACACCAGGCACCCCTCTCACCGCCAGTGGCCAGGCACACAGGATCCACCCAGGCTAAGACTAAAGGACCACCACAGGAAGCCCGCCCCTATAGCAGCAGGTGTCAGCCCTGGTGGAGAAAGTGTGAGGAGTCCTGTGCAGCAGCCAGGCACCAAGCAGAAGCCTGAAGCCGCTGAGCTGCATGTTTGCCAGGCCGTCCTCCATGCTGGGCACAGGGGCTGCTGACTGGAGCAGGGGTGCCCAGACAGGCAGGCAGCTCCTGTACCCAGGACACAGTACTACCAACCGGACTTCTGGCTCCAGCCTCAGCCTGGCCCAGTCCTGTCCACTGCAGCTGGAATCTTGGTGAGTAAACCAGCTGATAATAGACCTATCTGTTTGTGTCTGGGCTCAGAGGATGACGGGATGGTGTGCTAGGAATTGTAAAGCCATTCTGAGGAGTGGGACACACTCCCCTTCTGCTTTCTCTGCAGTTCCACAGAATGCTACCATTGGTCAGCCTTCCCTCCGGAGGACTGACCCGGGGTCACGTGGCTTTGTTCTCAGTAGGAGCTGAGCCCACCAGAGTGTGGACGATGCAGACATGCTGGGCAGAGGCAGGACAGAGAGCGGCAGTGTGGACAGAGGGAGCAGGGACTTCTGACCTTCCAAACTATGAGAGAAGAGGTCTGCACTGTGTGCAATTATCCACTTAGGGCATCTCTGAGCAAGGTCTTCCCTCTCCCACTGGGTGTGGGTCCATCGGACAAGATCACCTTTCCTGCCAGCACAGGTGGTGGACTAAGTCAGGCTGGGCCAAGGACCCACCGTTGTGTGCACAAGACACAAGATCTGCCATGACAGGAGACCTGACAGCGGAATTTGAAGAACTCCTTTGTAAGGATGCTGTCCCTGCAGGTGAGCACACGAGCCAATAGTGCAGGTTATAGCCTGTCTAACCAAGAACAGCCCAGTCCAGCCAGGTTGTGGTACCGGGTACCCACCAGTGTTCATGAGGGTCAGGGATGGGTTAAGGCCATGATGGGGAAGTTCATAACACACAAACACAGATCCCAGAACCAGGACAGGGTGCAAGACAGCCCAGATGGTGTTGTAACACAACCCAGTTCACACCAGGGCCAGGACTGTGGCCTAGCTTTTCTGCACAAGGCTACAGCACGCACCGGCATGAGAGGATGCTTCGGGGAGCCCGGTCTGGACCAGGATATAGCACCTGCACCAAAAGCTGAGGTGATGCATGCCTTGCTGGATTAGGCCATAGCACCCAACCAGCACACGTGGACCTGGAAGGCAGGGGATGTGAGCCCGGAAAGCGGGCTGGGGGGCTTTCATGCTGGGCCACTGCCCCCACTGATGAGAATGAGATCTGGCTGCATGCATCTCCCAGGCAGCCCCTGGACAATGCTCCTAAGTCAGGCTGTCTAAGAACCTGGCTCACTGTGAATGCACGGTGCCATGCTGTTCCCTCCCTGCCCCACAGAGACCCAGCTCCGTAAGGGTGATCTGCTCCCCTAGACTGCACTGCATTTGGCACCACCCTCCTCTGCGAGACTTCCAGCCAACATTCAGTGCCCGCCTAGCCTGCTCATCCTCCAGGAAGCCCCGCAGCCATTCCGCAGGTCAGCGTCCTGCCCCCCTGTGCTCTCAGCTTCACCATGTCACTCACCATGTCCTCCTGATGTTGTAACCCAGGACAGGGCAGACCCTTCCTGTCCACCACAGCATCGATCCCAGGGCCACCACCAGGCTTTGGGGTGAGGGGTTGAGTCAGGGCTTCAGAGCTTGGCACACAAACTCTGCCCATGCCAATTGCCCACATTGGGGAGCAAGTGACCCATCCTGAGTCAGGCTCCCATCCGTGCCACGCCAAGCGCCTGACAGGAGCACTGGGTACACACATCTCCCAGGATGCCTCTGGACAAGGGACATAAGTAGGCAAACCAAAGGAAAAGCTGTTCTGCCTGCGAGGTCTGGTGCTGTTCATGCAGAAGGATCCGGGACTCTGGGGACAGCGGCTGCTGCTCACTCACAGGAGCCTCTCACACCTCAAACCCTGAATGAAGGGTGCACGGAGGCCACGCACAGGTGCCCTCTGCCCACTGTTCCAGGGCCTTGGAGATAAGCCCTGTAAGCCTGGGCCCAAACAAAGCATGCCATCTACTGCTTCTGGACCTGGTCCACCTGCCATCTCCCCTGGTCCCTCCAAGACAGCTGGGACAAGGAGACAAAGTCCACAGCTGACAACTCCCCACTGGCCCGCCTCCCCTGCCCAAATGGGAAATGAAGACAGGAGCCATGTTTGCATATGACTATATTCATATTCCATCTCCAGGGATGTGTTAGGGTGAGGGTTTGCCAGGAGATCCTCCTCAGCAATGCGCTTCACTGCAGGGAGAATGTCTCCTCTTCCTAGGCGAGCTACCAAGGCACCCACACCCGCCCCAGCTGTTCCCAGGATGGCATTGGTTGATGCGGCGAGTCCCGCAGCACCTGCAGAAGAGACAGAGGGTGAGCCCTGAGCTGAACAGGGAGGCAGGCAGCAGCACCCAAGCTTTGAGGCTGATGACACCCTGGACACTCACCCACGGACTGCAGCGTGGCCACCAGGCTGCCCGCAGCCACTCCACCTCCATTGGCCACGGCCGCGGCAGACATCATGCTGGAAGCGATGGAGGAGGCAGCGATGCCCCCCGCGGTGAAGCCCAAAGCGCCCAGGACCACGGGCGTGGCTGCCACTGCAACAGCTACAAGGCAAGAAGAGCATCACAGAGTCTCTGAGAGACCACACACACATCTTGGGGCTGTGAGCAGGCGGATTAAAGGGTCTCAGCCTTGCCCGATTCCTGATACCCAATATTGCCTCCTGCCATACCCACCACCAACACTGGCCTCTATCTCGGGTCTGTGAAGGACTGCCATGGGTTTTGGACCGAATCACTCACTTGCTCCAACAGCAGCGCCAATGCCTTTCCGCAGCCATAGGACCAGGCGGAGAGGGGAAGGGTCGATGGCATGAGTGGGTCATCATGTGGCCGCG